CTATTATTATTACATTGTAATATATGATGAAATAATTCTACAACTCACCATAATGAAGAAGCGGTGGAAGCCCTGAGCTTGTTTTCCCACAACCAGATGGTTCCATCTGGGGGTGATGGGAGACAGGGGCAACCGAAGTGTGTTCCTTATGCTCAGGTAAGCAACACACTTCACGCTTATCTTCATGCTCACATTTTTTTCTTTTGAAAAACTCCAAAGGCTTGTCTTTTAATGTAGAGTGCTTGGTCTCCGTGTGGAAAAGCAGTTTGGAAGGTATCATGGCTTTGTTGCCTAGCCAGTCACCACTTATTATACAAAGCGGGCTTGGAGAATATGAATCACCTATTGCAGTGAAGCTGTAATTTAAGTAGGACTTTTGGAATTTTCTTTTAAATGCAGCTTTCTTTTTGTTGGCAGCGTTAGAGTGTCCTGTTATCCCATCATTGAGTCTTTTTCCCTTTTCAAAGAAGTTCTCCAGTAGTGTTTGTTTTTCACTGATTTTGGCTAGGGTTAGCATGTGGGTTTATCAAAACTGTGATTGAGACAAGTGCACATTGCAGGAAAGGGGCACAGAGAGAAGTGGTAAATAAAATAATGGGTGGGCCATGCGCTGACCCATTAAGTGTCAGATTATGACTTAAAGCCTGCCACCAGATTCAGCTGTACAATTAAAATGTACCAACTCACTTGCCACTATAAAGCCTACCACCAGATGCAGCTAAATTGTCACTTGCCACTCACTGATAGGGTTTTCATATGAGTCTGCAAGCGACTGATTTATTATGGTCTCTGTGCAGTCACACCTCTCTGCAAAGGACAATCTATATTTGCGGCTGCTCCGCTGGGTTCATGGCCTTGGGGTTGGGGAGCCCTGGTTTAAGAGGTTTGAAGTCTTCTAAGCTATAGTAAATCTTTCACACATTTAAGAGATGCTGCTAGAGGCCTGGGTAAAATAAAAGCTAGACAACAAATACAGAACTTTGATGCCATGATATATAGCTGCTTCATGTGCTTCATGGACATCCTACAGCTGGGTGTAGTTGATTAGTCCAAGAAAAACTATGCATGCGCTGGCCTTAAACTTGTTCTGCCCAAGCAGGGAGAACACTTCAGGGAGGAAAAAGTCACTGTTAAATATCTCAAAGTCAGTTTTAAAAAGTAAAACTCTGACATTAAAATTTAAGTACTTCTTTGGTATTTCCTATAACCACTGCTCTTAACACTGAGTTTTAATAAATTCTTTCAGAATAAAAACCAGCGATCCTTGATCTCAGGAGTAATGTTCCCATTTTTCCTTCCATAATGGTAATTCCATGGTCCTAATAACAGATAAACAATTTATTGTATCTTCCTCAATTTCTTTCTCCATGGTCCTGTAGTTTTCCTAGTACAGGTCTTTTACATCCTTGGTTAAATTTATTCTTAGGTATGTTTTATTGTTGTTGTTGAAATGTAAATGGGATTGTTTTCTTAGTTTCTCTTTCTGATAGTTCATTATTGGCATACATAAATGCCATCAATTTCTGAGTATTGACATTGTATCCTGCTACTTTGCTGAATTCACTCACTAGGTCAAGCAGTTTTTTGGTGGCACCTGTAGGGTTTTCTATTCTCAGATCATGTCATCTGAGAATGACAGTTTTACTTCCTCTTTTCCAGTTTAGATGTCTTTTATTTCTTCTTCTTGCCTGACCACACTGTAGCTAGGACTTTCAGTACATGTTGAATAAAACTGGTGAAAGTGGGCACCCATCTTGCTCCTGATCTCAAGGGAAACATTTTTAGTCTTTGCCCATTGAGTATAGTGTTGGCAGTATACTCCCAGTTTTCATATATGACCTTTATTATGTTGAGTTATGCTCCCTCTGTTCTCACTTTGCTGAGTGCTTTTATCATATGGGTGTTGGATTAATGCTTTTTCTGGATCTATTGATAAGATCATGTGACTTTTATCCTTCATTTTGTTTATCTGGTATATCACGTTTATCAATTTATAGATATTGCACCATCCTTGCATCCCTAGAATGAATCTCACTAGATCTATGATCCTTTTAAAGTATTGTGGGATTCACTCTGCTAATGATTTGTTGAGGATTTTAGCATCTATGGTCTGTATTTTTTTCTCTGTTGTGTCTTTACCTCATTTTGGAATTAGGATGATGCTGACTTCATGAAGAGTTTTGAAGTCATCCCTCTTCTTGAATGTCTTGGAATAGTTTGAGGATAGGTGTCAGTTCTTCTTTGAATGATTGGTAAAATTATCATATGACATCATCTGGCCCAGGGCTTTTGTGTGCTGGGAGTTTTTTTGATTACTGCTTCAATTTCACTGGTTGTTATTGGTCTATTCAGGTTTTCAAATTCTTCCTGACTCGGTTTTGGACGATTGTGTGTTTCTAGAAATTTATCCATTTTGCCTAGGTTGTCCAATATCTTGGAATATTTGTTCATAGTAATTTCTTACAATCCTTTGTAATTCTGGGGTATCTATTGTTACTTATCCTCTTTCATTTATGATTGTATTTATTTGGGTCCTCTCTCTTTTCTTCTGAACTAAACTACCAGATAGTGAGTGGCACACGTATTAGGAGTTCTCTGCATGAATGCTTGACATTTTTTCCAAATCAACAAATATTTAAAGTTAACAACCAAGAGGGTCTTTGTTAATTGAAAAGCATCTGACTGGAACTGAGTCTGAATAGAATTATCTTGTTTCTCCCTCAATGGCATAGTACATAACATTGAAATTATTAAGTAATCTTAATAGAGATTTAAATAAATGATGAGAATTTATTTTAATGAGCAACTGACAATATAAAATAAGTATGAAGAAATTCAGTAACAACAGTAACAAACCATCATGAAGTTTCTGCTTACACTGATGAATTAAATTTTATCTTTATTGTGCTTGCTTCCCTTCAGATGCAGAAGTTTACCAATTATCATTCATTACTGAAGTTAATCCTTACTATATTGAAATATGAACCAGAGGAGAACTTCACTCACTCTTCATTTGTCAAAGGGTGCTAAGCAATTGTGATTGCATCAAGTACTTGTCATGAGAATTACTGTTTCCATACTACACCAGTGTTTTTATAACAATGGACTACCATGAGCTCCTTTGAATGCTATTAAATGAACAATATCTATTTACATCTGTTTCTTCATGAGTCCAAACAGGTCATTACAGCTTAAAGATCATCCGATTAATTTCATTTGCCCATCTAATCCTATGTTGCCTATTTTCTCCGTTTTCTTCAAATCTCTAATTCTAAGCCAGCTGCCTTTTCTATAGACAAAGAATTTTATACTATTATTTTTAACTGAATGATATAAGTAAGCTCTTTCAACTGTTCTTCTTCCTAAAATGTTTTTTTTATTATACAATATTTTGTCCTTTCTTATTTTTACAAAAAACTATTTCCTCCTTTTCAAGCTAACTTTTTTTATTGTTGTTCAAGTACAGTTGTCTCCACCTTTCCCCTTCCACCCCACCACCGTCCCACCCATCCCTGTCTCCCACCCTTGATCCTACCCCCTTTGGTTTTGCCCAAGTGTCCTTTATTCAGGTTCCTTGATGCTTACTTTTCAACCTGTGCTTATAAATTTTTCCTTCTACTTCCCAGTTTCCATCCCCTCTCTTCCAATGACTCCCCTGTGACTTCCAGCACCAGGTCTTCCCTTGTTTCTAATTGATCCAAGTAGCAAGTTACTAATGCTATTTTCATTATGATGCTCCAAATTCTTCAAAGGTTCCCTAGCATCTCTAAGTTAGTTTAATATCTTGTCTAGGCATTCAAGATTTTCACCAAGCTGACCCTAAAAAGTAGTAAATGTACTATTCCCTAAAAGAAAATCTTTGCTTCTGAAAGGCTGGTTGACTTACCCTTCTTAAATATGGTTTAATCATTATCTTCCCTGATATTTAACAGTGCTGTGAATTTCATATACATACCTACTTCTTCCCTCATTTCTCTGATTTTCAAGGTTCAACTCAATTTTTCTCTTCTCTGTGAAGTTTGTCTCATAGCTCTAGACTACATTTTCTTATTCCCTGTAGTTTTAACAAACCAACTCCTAGTTTAGCACTCCATTACAAGTATCTTTATTTACGTCTGCATTCATGCTTATGCCTGCATCCTTTCCTTTGAGTAACCAACCTAAACAGTCGAGGGAATATAAGAATGAATAATGTTTATTTACTCAGTATTCTTAATATAACCTCTTAGATAATAAAAAAATTATTGAATAAATGAGTAAAACATCATTGCCAATAGACCTGCTATAAAAAATGACCACTATTTCGAAGATGTAGTGGAGGGGATAACACCACAGGAAAGGTCATGCAAGAACTGGAAGATTTGTGTGATATCAATCCCAAGTGTCAGTTATTTAAGAGTAAAACCAACCACTAATTTTAAAATCATGTTGTCTAAAATCAAAATAGTTCAGTGTCCCCACTATTGCCAGTATATCTGACAAGTAAGTGGAAATCTATGATTTGCAAACACAGTGAATAATACATTATTAAAAATTACTAGGTTTTCTAGAATTTTATGTAATATACTTTCTGGGGAGTGGGATTCACTATTTTTCATTAACCATGACTATTTTGAGATAATCCTTTTGTTACATATATCAATAGTTTGTTCAATTGTATTATTTCATTATATGAATATACTACAATTGTTTTTTAGCCACTCAGCTGTTAGTGGATATTTGGATTGTATCTAGTTTTTGGTTATTACAAATAAAGCTGCTGTAAAGATTTGAAAAAAAGTTACTAATATACAACAAATTCCAATTCTGAAGTTGGAATGAGAATTCCATCTTATAAGAAGAAAACATAAATGTCAAAACTGTACAAGTAAAGAAAGGAAACAATGGTTTGAGAACATATATACATTTGTATACGTGCTGGAAATTCCACTGTTTAAACACATTATTGTATGGCTCATTATTTTCAAAGCATGAATTTTAAAACTCTATGTTCTACATACCTGTCCAGTCTCCTACTATTTTAAGGTGGACCCCAAATGTTGCTTTGGTTTCAGTAGGACACTGAAAAAATAAATAAACACTAGAATCAATTCTGAATAATAATTATGTATTACCAAGTATTACTAAATTATAATTTTTATTCTCACAGTAAATCCCCCAAATATAAAATAGAAAGCAGTGGACTAGAAGTTTTTATATAGATCCTCATTAGTAGAAGAAAAATGGCAACATCAACTAGTCAACAGGACAATACACATTTCTCTAAAAGCTCATAAGTATCTACATAAAACAATATAACCAGTCTAAAACTGCTAGTATATTACATCTAACCATAAATCTTGCTTAAATATCTTTTGATTTAAAATATTTAAAAGGCCAAAGATTTTAACTGAAAGGCAGATATGTAGACTAATAATTTCAGTGTCTTTTTCTCTCTAGATGTTATATACTTCATGTCCTAACAAATTCCAAGAAAAAGAAAAATAAAGACAGAAAGTGAAAACTCACTTTATACACATCTATTTTAAGAAGTTTATTATGAGCTTTTGTAATGCTTATCATTTTCAATGTTAAATTTCAAAGTAAACATGGAAACATTGCTGAGTCTTTTTCTAGTCTCATGTAAGTTTCCTAGATGAAGAGAATGGAGTTTGGTTCATGCTGACCTTAATATAAGTACCAGAGTACACAACATCTAGTTTGAGGATAAGAAAATAAAGTGACAGAATTTGTAAAAACAGATCTGAGGGAATGTATACTTTGCTATTGTGGACAAAATATAATGTTTCCTTCAAATTAGTTGTTCAGTATGGTGTTGAGATCTTAATGTGGTTAAAAGACTAATGAATTTGTAACAATTCCATAAAAATATAAACAGATATTATGTAATTATCTTACATTTGGGAACTAAATGTGAAAATGATGTCAGTGCACAAGGATTTACTCAACATGGAAAAGAAGTTTAAAAGCCACAAAGTGTTTGTTTTTAAATTTATTAAACCAGAGAAAATGATCAAAGAACATTATGCTCTTTAATCATTATTGTCAGGACTTTATTTTTAGCTTCTTTTTCCAAAGATCTAGTTTCACATTTTCTATTCCAGCTAGACATTTCCATCAGAAATTCACTCTAACTGTAATATAGCTAAAATCACTGTTATCTTACTTCCTAAGTTACATTCTCCTTCTTATTCTCCTATGTCTGCACATGGAACCTATGGAACCTATATATCCTTATCAGAAGAGAGGCTCACATCTCAGAGTAAGATCAGGTATTTCTCTTTCTGCCAGCATTCAATTGACTTTCAAGTCCTTTTTGAATAATCTTATCAAAGAAAGTGTCTGATCACAGTAATCTCCCATTAATCAACCTTTTGGAAGAACACCCACATACTTTCTTTCCTATAGTCTATGGCCTTCCAACACCATGAAAGAACACCCACATACTTTCTTTCCTATAGTCTATGGCCAACCACATCTGTTCTGAATTCTTTCCAACTTTGTATTCCATGTTTCTCTTTGACTCACTCCAATAATCCACCCAAACCAACATGGATCAACTATAAATCTTCCTGCCCCTTTACTTCCCTACTTACTAGTCTACCTTTAAAAAGAGAATCATCTTGAGAAGCTAGCCCATGTTTCCCTCAAAACAATGAGAAATCTTAGGTCTCAGGGATAAAAGAAAGAAGCTAGGTTTGGGCTTATGATTTAAAAAGAAGAAATGGTCATGTCTGTATATGGAATAATTTGACCCCCAGATTCATCTCACTCCAAGCATAAGCCTGGCTATTACTCCTCCACAAACCCAAAGATAAGCAGAGGTGAGACAAAAAGGCTCTAGATGCAAAAATAACCAGTACAGTGGACACTAGATCTGAGATGCCATTCATTAAAGCACACTAAGTGCCATCTCACATTTACCCACCCAAAACCAAGCTCTAAATACTCTTATCAGAACCTGCTCTGCCCATACAAGCCTTCCCAATCTCAGCTAATGTGACTCCAGTTGCTCAGACCAAAAACTTTGACAATAAGCTGGACCCTTCTATTTCTTTCATATTCCATACCTCTTCTATCAAGGAATCCTGGTGAACACTAACTTTAAAATATGTCAAGAATCTGACACTTTTTACTAGCTCCACTCTGGGGCAAGCCATCATCATACCTCAATTGGATGAGCATCCTAACTGTTCTCGTAGCTTCTCTATATTCTCATCTAATATTAACATAGCAGTCAGAGTGATCTTGTGAAAAAAGCAAGCTGGACATGTCATTCCTCTACCCAGAACCCTCCCATGGCTCCATCCTCACTCAAATTAAAAGCCAAAACCCCATAATCTGACTCCTCAGATCTTCCCTGACATCATTTCCTATCATTTTTCCTTTTCCTTAGTGTATTCCAGCTAGAGTGACCTCTGATGTCTCCTCTTCCTTACCTACATACACTCACACAGATGCAAACCAAAATATTTCAAGCATAAATAAGGGTAGAAACTGCCAGGTTTTTAAACAGAGAAATGATGTGATCTGATTTGCATCTTAAAATAATCATCCTGATGGCTTCTTGAGATTAACTGATAGGTGAGTAAAGGCAGACAGAGGGAGACCAATTAAAAGACTATCCAGATGGTAGTGGATCGAACCAGGGTAGGCACTGTGAAAATTTTGGACATATTTTGAAGGGAGAGCCAAGAATTTTTGTGGACAGATTGTCGACTGTATCTTTTTAAGGATACAAGTCAAGTTTGATGTCCAGGTTTTCAGCCTGAGTAACTTGGATAGTGGAGCTGGCACTACCTTAAGAGGGGGAAGACCATGGGTGGAATAGGGTTGGAAGGCTGAAGATTAAGAGCTTAATTTTAGTCATGTTAACTTACAATTTATTTTAGACATCCAAGTGGAAGTTTTTGACAGAAAATAGAATGTACAACCTTGAATCTCATAGTTGGGGACTGTGCTGGAAATATAAATTTGGGAGATAATAGCACACAGATGCATCAATAAGACTGAATAGGATCACCAGAGAAATGAGTTTAGTTAGAGAAAAATATCAGAACATCCAGTGTCAAGAAGTGGACACTGGAGTGTTCTGATATTTAGAGGTTATAGGGATGACAAGCAAAATATTTTAAAAGAGCCAGAAAATTAGGAGAAAAACCAGGTGAGTAGAAGTCCTGGAAGCAAAATGTTAATAAAGCAAGTGATCATCAGCTGGGCTAAATGCTCCTGAGATGTCAAACCCACTGAGGACTGAGAAAGGAACACTGGCCTTAGCAACAACATGGTCATGTTGACCTTGGAAATGTTTTCACTGTGGGCAAAAGTTGGTAGATTTAAGAGAGAACAAGAGGAAACAAACAGAAGAACTGAAAAATAGGGGAGAGGCTGGAAGGAGATGTGAGTCAAGAAAGGGCTTTTATCCATCATTTTCTCTTTGATACCTAGTGAAAAAGAGGCATTGGAAAATACCAATTGAATAAGTCAAGTTTAATATTAAACAGCAGGTTCACTCTGAAAACACTGACTGATTTCAGTTCTTATTTATTATGCAGGTCCCCCTTATGCACTGAAGAAATATTTTCTTTTTTCCTGGAAGAAAGCCAAGCTAGAGCAATTAGATGATGTTTAACTTTCAAAAAATTCAGATGTCCTGTTATATTTCATGAACATTAGTGACCTTCTGTGTCAATTTCCACCACTGTGCCTGGTCTATAGTTAAGACATTTATTGCCTTGCTAATCTGTCATCTCTCCCAGCTGAGTTTCTAAGCTAAGCAAGAGATTTGTGAAACTCTAGAGAAAAGCAATTTTCAAAAATTAGACAGATGAGAGCAAGGCCCAAGATCCAAACCACTGATGCAGATTTCCTGCTTATATTTAAACCCATAAAATTAAATCAATAATAACAAAAATGTTTCCAGTCTTGAAGAGATTCACAGCCATTCTAGTCTGGTTTTCATTGAAAACTGGAAAGACTATTCCCAAAGTGACTGGTTGAGAGATTAAAAACACAAAGCAGAAAAATGATGGCTAGTGAAGGCATGCTATGTAAAAATACGGACAATAATAAACTAACAGCTAGACTTGCCTCTGACTCATGGAAAAATATGTGAAATTAGGTTATCCAAGCTTAAAAATAATGAATCACACAACTCAGAACACAGATGTCAGGAAAGCACATGCATACTTCTGAATTAAAATAAGGAAAGTATATAGAAATATTTGTGTAAACTTCAATCAATCACTACCATTTAAAAAGTAGATTCTGTATTATTTCTTTAATTGAGAACCCATGAAAAATATTAATGAGCATAGTTAATGTCTACCTCAGTTAAATACTAAGAGAAGCTACAGTTTGTAATAAGCAGTAGGTTTCATGTTTTCTTAAGTTTGTTTTTTTAAAATCATATCAGATTTATACATCTAAAGTTGTTGGGACATACTTTAATAGAAGATTTGTTTTGGTAGAAAAATCCAAACTTTGTTAATACAGAGCATAGCTGCAAAACACTTTTAAAGATCCACAAAAAGCTGAAGAACAACATGTAAGATTCTACCCAGGTTTTCAGCCAATAAAGGTCCATCATTCATCCTAATGGCTAGTAAACCACAAAAGCAAATAAATCATCTGTCCCTTAAAGGGCTGTTTCTAAACAAGTCTGTGGCCAGAGGTTAGTCAGTTACTGCATGCAGCAGAATGAGACCAAAAATTTCAGTTTAATCCTGTCTTGAGTCTACATTCATTATCTGAAACAACAACCATAACAAATAAAAATAGATAGCACAATAGCTAAGGTAACGCAGGAAGTGATAACAACAATGGAGGGATGTCAACAAATTTTGAAAGGTGAAATGTGGATGAGGTGGTGGATAACAACTTCTAACCTTCCAAGCACTTACTATATGCCATGCACCATGATTAGCACTTGACTATATCTGTTAACTCATATTCACAGTAACTCCATAAAGTAGTTATTATTATTACCCACATTTCATAAAGAAGCAAACCAAAGGTATATTACTTATCTTGTCCAGGGATATAGTAATAGTAAGTGGAAG